GAGAATCGGAACATCCGGGGGGTACTTTATAGGCGGTCATTTTTATATTTTATGGAATATATCTGTTATTTACGTTTAGGGAAGAAAATTCTTCAAATAAAAGTTGTTTGTAATATAATTCTCTATAATTTCTATTCTTCTATTCTATATATAATTTCTCTAAAATGGACTGTATTCGAGATATTTGAGAAAATGCGTGAATTTCGAATTTTGAAGAAAACTCAAAAACGGATAAAGAAAAAAACATGCTGCAATAGGTTGTAAAAAATAACCGGAAAAAGCCTATAATAACTAGATAGAAAAGTCATGTGTTGGACACATCAGATTTTTTAAGTGGTGTTTGTTCGACTGTCAGAACCTAAATAATTCAAAGTCAATAATTATTGCATTCGACTGGAATTTCTCTAAGTTAAATTTTTATTCGACTAGTAGGCGCTTTTGCTTACAGTTCGAATTTTTTGAAACTGTACCTTTTTTCAGTGCCAGTGTCATTTTGGAGGTTACGATTTATTTAATATTTTTAGATATATTACCATCTTTGTCTTTATTATTACTGAGAATGAAACATCTTTGAATTTAAAAGAAATTTTATTTCTGGTTTGGCAACAATAAATAAATATCATTAAAATTAAGTTAGAAATTAGAAATGTTAGGTGCTAACTGTGCCAGGTCAAATAACGATAAATGTTGAACTCTATCTCGGCTTTGCTGTAAGCACTGCTAGAGATAAATTTGAATTATAAAAATGCTGCCCAAATTCAATTCAGAACTAAAAGCGCTTTGTCATCAAGCAATAGCATTTAAGTCGAATCCGCTATAAATTAGCGTATTGTTGGCATATAAATTACTGAGGCCCTTCCTATGGGGCCTCAGTATTGCATTCGTGCAGACGAAAAAATGTTCTTACCCCCATTTTTTTATACTTTTTTTCACGTTCCTGAGTCCGAAAATGCAAAAAAAATGTTCGTCAAATCCAAGCCAAACAGAAACAAGAAACCGGGAAGTCGCTTTAAAAGACAAATGACAAGCGGCATACCACTATGGATGATATTAAATTCGGATACATTCGGCTTCCCTTATATTTCTTTAATCCCTTCCGCAAACTTACGGAATTAGCGTTTTGCGATAACGGTAATAGGGTAATTCTGTAAATATTTTGATATACGCATGCGTAGATGTCAAATAATACCGTACGCAATTAGCGTATCACGGTATTGGTGCGTGCCCGATCTCTCTATTATATTTTTGTTATAACGAGATGCACTTTACTTGAGACACGTAAGATAGAGGGAGTTACAAGCTTTAAATTTTCTAATGGAAAGTAGGGTCATGTGATACCTCATATTTTTACGTTCATGTAAACAGATTTAGGTTTTTATGTTTTTACAGAAATTACATTAACTAAATTCATAAAGTACGTTAAATTCTTTGTTTTATTTACCGCTTCAACCTCAAATGATCATTACCGGAGGTATAATACCTTATAAATGCTGTTTTTTACAATAGTATACAATGGATAATTAACATTTTGGCAGCCAACAGCGTAAATGTCAATATCTTTTATAAATTTAAGTAATTTTCAACTGTTAGAGGGATTTAACACTGCACAAATGGCAATTTTTTGTAGCTGGTACTTTGTTCTTATACAGACATGTTCTGGGCCTTTACTAATAAGTTACATTCTTGATAACTCTCGTATTAACAATTATTGTTTATTACTAAGGGAACGCTTCTTGTATTTACTAAAATAAATAAATAAATTAAGATTATCAAAGGTGATTTAAAAACCACTTGACGTATTAAATTTTTCATAACTTCTTGGCAAAAAAAGCTTATTAAAAAATTATCTTCTAACATTATCTAACATTTCTAGGATTATTGTGACATACGAGGATTATCAAGAATGTAATTTTTGTAAAAACAAAAAAAAATAAAACTGTGCTTGGACGTAAATATAATCAAAAAATCTTTCAAACGATGTATTGGATGACGTTACTTTCCATTAGAAAATTTAAAGATAATAACGCCCTCTATTTTACGTCTCAAGTAAAGTGCATCTCATTATAACAAAAATATCATACTGTTTCTCTAATTTCACATCGTTTTTGTTTTGTCTCTATCTCCTTGCATTTTGGAAACATACTACAAAATGCTTTCATTTGACATCACAGGATTACATTAGAAAAATTCTAACTTCCAATTTAACCTCTTCCACCCCTCCTCAACTGACTTACAAAACAAAGTATTTTCGTTTTTAGTTAACGCCTAATCTGGGCCACTTATTCCTTCAAATTTCAATTGTAAAATGACTGTGACAGACGGACAGACAGAGAGACATGTGTTTCTTATTGCCAAATTTGGGTACTAATGCGCAAATTACTTGAAAAATTCTTTGTTTTTGTCTTACACATTTTACCGTTTTTTCATGTTTCGTCTTTTTCAAATTTAAATTTGATATTGTTTTATCACGAGAGAAACGAGACGAGACGAGACAAGACGAGAGAAAGGCTCTCTCGAGCGAGAGAAGCGCCTTCTCGTCGAGACGAGAGAACAGTTTTCTCTCGCCCTACGAGACGAGAGAGGCCACTCTCTCGTCTCGTCTTGTCTCGTGGCATCACTATTTGTTTATTACTATAGATGATATAATATTATTATTTAATTATTATTTACTACTACAATTCAGTCAAAATGGATAAATAAATCATCAGATTTGACTGGAAATTAATTATAGAAGTGCTTTTTAAAATGTATGGAAATGTTATGTTAAAAATAAGGTATTTTTTTTAAATTTATTTTTTGTTCAGGTCAGGAGAAGGTCAGAAGAAGCAGAAAGTAATGGCAGTAAAATTATAAATTATACATGTTTCATCAGTGCTTCGGCATGCTAATATACTAATATAACAGGAATAACAGGTGCTTGTCGGGCTAATGAGATGTATTTCATGAAAATTAGTAATATACAAGATCTTGGATCAACTGTTTTAGTAAACATGAGACGATAAAAATTGATTACAAGGTTGTGCAAAATCAAGTACCCTATGGAATGTTGTCATGGTTTCGTTTGTAGTTGACATCTGTTCGAGTTTTTCTGTCAGTTGCAAAGTAGATACTGGGGAAATTCATTATGAATCGATATACGTCTCGAGAACGTGCCGAAATCCAAATTTTTTTTTATCACAATAATTCGTCGATTATCCCAGCTCAACGAGAATACCGTAGAAAATATGGAAGACACGGTGTTCCAACTGCAATGACATTTAACTGTTCCAGACTTTTGGTCATAAAATTATCTCAATGATAGGGTATTTGTAAATAATCCTCAAAGACTAGAAGCATTAAAAGACAACATCTGAGAAGAAATTGACAGAATACCACCTGATATGTTGGAGAAAGTTATGAAAAATGCTTTAAAAAGAGCTCATTATTGCATTTATGTTGGGGTGACCATTTGGTCGAGATTGTTTTTAGTGTGTAACAAAACAAATAAATAAATAAATATTTTTCATTTATAATATGACTGTTTTTTAATTAATCTTACTTTTGTATAAAAAACAAATAGGGGACTTTATTTTACGCCACCTTGTATTACAATTAGGTATTTATTTCTTAAAGTCTTTAATAATAGGCATAATGGAAGCTTGTCCGGCTAATGAGATGCATTGCACCAAAATTAGTGATTTACAAGACCGATTAGCTTTTTTAGTAAATTTTCCCAAAACCAAGACAAAAACAATTCGAAAATTTTTAATTGCCCATAATTAAAAAAAAAAATGTGTTAAAAATACATCAGTAGTCGTCCAACACTACTATTTTTAAACTATCAGAACGATAAATGCACTGCCCAAAGAATTGGTATTAATAAATTTATCAAATGAAAAAGATGTTGCTGCTTTTTTGAAACCATTTTAAATTTTTATGCGTAGGTAAGCCTTCGAGCAATATATGCTCGAAGAGATAGGCATAAGCAACAATGGGTGCAAATATTTTTACATGAACAGATCTAAGGGAGTAAAGGGATCTTATAATTTTACATGGATATATTTAAAAGAGACCAAATATTTTTAGATAAATAGGCGAAGTAAGAAACCCAAATATTTTACATGAGCAAGCTTAAGAGCTAAAGGGGCAAATTATTGTTGGATAAATTGCTCAAAATTTGTAAACCCTAATCAAAAGGCGATATAGAATGCTTTTAAAAATCAAAGCTTGTCAAAATTATCACATGATTTGACCTAAGTAATGCCATTGCTTCACAAACCAGAAAATTCAACGTCATAATACTCCTATCGGTTTTCGGTCTTTCGTTCCAAGTTAAATCATTTCTCTTTTATTTACGCTACGAGTTTACCCTTGTGTGCCTCAGTCTCGATAAGGTGGAAACCACCATTTTAGCGTCTCTCGAATTTTGATTGATAACTTCCCGAGTTCAAATACTGTCTCTGATAAAAATTCTTTTTTTATTTACTTTAATTTATAAGTTAGTAAAGGTCATGTAATTGAAATGTTTGAATTGATTATAATAACCTTTAAAATGTTAAAAATACAAAAATTATTATAAACTCGAATGTACCAAGACGTAAAATAAAGAATAAAAAAATCTTAAAGCCATGTGTTACAAAATAATACGAGGGACCGTTTCCTTACGGAAAACAACTACTCTTTTGACTTCTATTTCAAAAGAAATGGAATTACATAAAAAAACAGAAATGGGAAATTATTTTTTATACTTTACCTTTGATTTTACTTATACTAAGGATCAAGTCATTCTTAAATCTTTCTCGCCGGCCATAGTTATTTTTTATATTATTCTTTATTTTAACATTTTCGCAGTCTTGTTTTGCAAACTTACTTTTGTATATAACAGCAATCAGTTATAACAAGAAAAAATCAGACCTTAAAAGGTTAATAATAAACCAATATTATTGAAGAGCTATGTGGCTTATTATTTATAGTTATTTAAGTTATAAATTTAAAAGTATTCTGCTTAGTACTGTACTTACTCTTTTCCATTTTCCTTTGTTTCACAATTTTTCACCTTTTGTTCCATTTTATTAAAACACTAGAACCAGAGTTCCTAATTCGTCACATTCTTAAAAAATATTAAAGCTAGTTCACTTTGCAATGCAAATATGTATATTAATATCAACGATAAATTATTACAGATAAATACTATGTCAATTTAGGTTTAAATATAAATTTGAAAACAATTTCATTTCATCAATTAAAGTTATATTGTTACAATAAGATTTAATTCTCGCCTCAATGTCAAATTAATTCATTGGCTGATATCAAGCAATTCGGTAATAAATGTAAGAAATACATTTGGTTTAAAATCGCTATGCAGTAATTTACAGTTGTAAATTTTATTCTAAACAAAGGTTTATTTTATTATTATCTAAACATCAGATAAGAATCTAAGACATTAATGCTATTACACTCTAGTTAAAATATTATATTTTTTAAAAAATAAATGATGAGGTTTGTATTTTGTATAGTTTATTTTATGATACAATAATTTCTTATCAATAAGCTCTTGGTGTGTTCCGAATTCTGTAATAAAACCATCTTTTAAAACAGAAATAAAGCAATTCGGTAATGAATGTAAGAAACATTTAGTTTAAAATCGCTATCCAGTAATTATCAGTTGTAAATTTTATTCTAGACAAAGGTTTATTCTATTATTATCTAAATCAGATAAAAATCGAAGACATTAATGTCATTGTACTCTAGTTAAAAAATTTCATTTTTATGGAATAAATGATGAGGTTTGTATTTTGTAAAGTTTATGATACAATCCTTTCTTATCAATAAGCTCTTGAAGTATTCCGATTTCTGTAATAAAACCATCTTTTAAGGCCAAGTTCAATGACAAGTGACGGCGACTTTTTTATCACAAGAAATACAGCTCTGAACGATAATATTTTCAAAAACTGTTTTCATAAATGGGTTCAAAAAACTGTAAAGAATGATGGAAAGTTCATGATTTGTTTTACTTTTAATGCATAATATTTTAATAAGTGATATTTAACAAATATTTAAAAGTTATGGACTTTTCATCATTTTTTATAGTATTTAAAAGTTAAAACGCAAAATACATTCTTTTATTTTTGCCTAATTATTTCAGGATTCTTGTGATAAGATTTAAAAATGTAGGGTCCATAAGATGCTGCCATCTGAACAGACGGAATAGACGCTAAATTTGAAAAATTGCAACATCGCTGCCTATGCAGACGAATGTAAAATGGCTTAGCCCAATTTGACCATGTTTTTGGGTGAGGGGCGAGGTGGTGTGCGGGGAAAGTTTGCAAGTAAATAAATTATTCTATAAATGCTATTTTCTGTTTGGAACACAACACAAGCATGTTTGTTTTGAAAGTTTGACGTTATGACGTTTATGGTTTGACGTGTCATTTCAATTTAATGGAATTTAATAATTTAAAAGATGCAATGTACTTATATTATTTATATATTATATTATTGTAGATCCAGGTATGCTTTCGGTTTTTATTTTCTTTATTTGGCTAGTTTGCTAATATCACAATATTCAAATTTAGTAAAAAATAATGTAATAATATAACAATTATTTTAATAACCTTTTAAATAGGAAATGTAATTTAATTGCAATTGTTTTGATAACAGTATTTGCATATGGTCTGTGAATTTCATCTGTTTCCGAATAATTACCCTTAAATATTTGAATTTTTCTACTAACTGTATAGATTTTCTTTCAATTTCCTATATTGTTTGTCCACAAACTGCATATAGTTATTACTTATCAGCTTATATTTTGTTTTAGGTATTTGTGTTGATTTTTAACAAATGATTTCAACATCATTTATAAACATTTTGCAGAGTTTCATTGACAATTAACTCTTACTAAGTTATCTGAATCCTTAAAACTTACAAGAAACATAGATAAGGACATCATAGGCTAACAGGTAAATGTCGTATTGATTATTGCGACATCAACAATCATTAATATAAATTAAAAATAACAGGGGACCTAATTTTCTTCCTTTGATGTGGTTAATTTCTTCTGATCAGGACAGCGATTCTTTTGTGCTAACTCGACACATTACATACAGAATAAAGAGAGACATTACATTAAAATCGCTGTCTGCCGAACAAAGATAGGAGTCTCGATAGGAGACATACTGAAAGATGAGAATCCCACTAGATATGTTATTTTATTTTAATCTCTCTGATCTGATACTTAGATAATCTACATGCTACCCCAATGCATGCTTTATAGCATAGATATAAAAACCACCTTTATACAAATACTTTTTAATTTTTTTATCGAATGGTTTTGATTAACAGAATCAAGTGAATTTTAAAGAAATACAATTAGTTTTTAATTGTACATAATATGGCGGGTTGTACAATAGGCAGTTCAAATGTAGACTTAGTTTAAACTGTGAACCTTGTTGTATACTCATCGGTTATTGTTAAACATAGTTTTAAAAATGACATTTGTTTTTGAATATAACTAGTTAAAAATAAAACTCTTGTTAGTTTAAATATGTTTAAAATATTTTTTGTACAACCTGCCAATAATGTATTTTGTAATAATTAAAAATCATAATATTCTTGTAAGGAAGTTGGAAAGCTTAGGGTTTGATCAGTCGCTGTTGAGATTATCTTCATCTTACCTAAATCATCGTTTTAATTATGTCTTTTACAACGGATTTTCATCTTCACCCCTCACAGCAACATCTGGAGTTCCACAGAGCTCCAATCTGGGGCCACTATTATTTGGTATATTTATAAATGACTTGGCAATAAATTTAACCTGCTGTTCGTTGCTGACTTAAAAATATTTACCTCAATCTCATCAATTCAAGACTGTTACTTTTTACAGACCCAATTTGGGAATCGTTGAAAATTGGTGTAATGAAAACAAGCTGTTTATGAATGTGTCTAAATGTAAAGTATGTTCCTATATTAGAAGTAATAACAAGGTAGAGTTTGATTATTTATTTAACAGCCTACCTTTATCGGACTTGTGCACAAATTGAAGATTAAGGTATACTATTCAACCAAAAAGTTACTTTTTCGGATTATTTTGAAAATACCGTTGCTTCTGCGTTGAAAAGCTTAGGGTTCTTAATTCGTAATACTCGTTCTTTTACAAACTCTTAAAGCTTGGAGATCCTGACTTTTCTTTAGTTCGTTCCAGGCCAGAATATGCATCTCTTGTCTGGAACCTTATTTACAATATTCATAAAAGATCATTGGAAAATGTTCAGCGGCGATCTCTCAAGTACCTTTCTTTTAAAATAGATGAGCTGTATCCCATTCGAGGTATTGAAGAATCTCTGCTTCTTTCGAAAATAGAAGGGTAGTTTCCAGTGTTACATTTTTTTATAAAATATTACATAACACTATGATGTAGTATTTTTGATAAATTAAATAAATTTTAATGTTCCCCAAACAGCCATTAGATATCATAAAACATTTTATACAGCAAGTATTTGAACGAACTTGGAAAGAAATTCACCTATAACGCTAATGTGCTCAAATTTTAATTAATTTTGTTCTGATTGGGATATTTATTTCGACCATTAGTTGTACTAATTTGTAGCTAATGTATTTAGGATTCTTTCTTTTCTTTTTTTTTTCTTGTTTGTTTTCATGTATTTTGTTCTGTAAATGGATTAATTTGTTGGGCAATAAAATTATGTTTATTTTAATAAGCTTAAAAATGTTTATTTTGATGCACCTACCACCTTTAAAAGTTTGTCAGTATAATAACAAGAAATCCTATATAATTCCCAAAGAAAAATATTTTTGGAATACATTCCGAATTCTATTTATTGATATTTGTTATTTTTTAGGTTCAATGACTCGAAACATGATGATCAGCTACACCAAGAATATCCTTGATACTTAAAAAAATGGTACGAGATTAAGCAGATTTGATGCTATGTCACATTGTGGTGCGAAGACGTGGCTTGTACAAATTTGGGGTATTAGTTGATAGAAAACAGAACGAAAAAATAAATTTAAATCTGCAGATGCATCAGAGATAGCCATATTCCATACCACAATATGTCACGCGTGAACTCTATGAGATTTCATTGGCTAAGTATCATTCCTCTGTAATGTTTTGTATCATTAGGAACACGCAACATTGTAAACAATTATGACCAGGATTTTCTGACATTTTCCCTAGGTCAGAGAGAATAAATGAATACTAAATAATGTATAGTAATAAAGATTGAAAATATATGTACTTTTAAGAGCTTTATTATGTCAGCCATAGTTTTATACCAAAAATGAAAATAAACTGAAATTATACATTAAAAATACATTCATAAATTAACTATATTTATAACACTCATCGACTCTCTCCTGGCTAAAATATTACTTATCTATCTATTAGGCTCTGTTCCGCCTATTTTTTGCCTTTAGCCTCCTTCTGACACTTCCATTCGTTCTTATTCAGTGTAGTATCCACATAGTTTTCAGAATATCAAGTGTTATACCTATCTGATGATTGGTCTTGCAAAGTTCATCTTCAGTACACCTGCTTATGTGACATCTATTTTGATGTCAAGTTTGATTGAACACCCGTTTCTTGCCTATTACTCTTATACTTAACCAGAACTAGCTTAGACTTGAACGCATATGTCTAATTCGGCCAAAACACAGCCTTGGTACACAAATATCTATTTTACCGCTCGTTTCATTACAAAAAACTGGAGTAAAGGGTAAAATTATCTCTTGTCCAGTACACTCGTATAATACACTTGAGTATTAGCCTATATTATTTTTGATTGAAGACGTATACATTTAAAAATGTCGTTTACTTAAAAATAAACATTTAATTTTGATATTTTATTTAACTCGATCAAAACATTAAATTATTATTTTCCATGGCTTATACCGGGCCTATATGTACTCTAGTAGCCATGGAGTAGCTGACAGTGTTGCCGTCAGTTGCCGCCACATATTCATTAGTGACATTCGTTTTATGAATTCATCGTGTTACAAATTTGTTGACATAAAGAGAAAGAAATTTAAAGTGACGTCTTTTATTACTTCAAATGAAAAAAATAAATCGATAATGCAATTTTCTAACCTAAAAAAAATCGTGATTATATGTCAAACAAAATTGAACTTGGCCTTAAACCACAAATTTCATCAACATCTTGACTCGTTGTCAAGCGATGTAATGCAAGTGCGACCTTTCCTTGCATTATCCAAAGCTTCTTGAACAAACTAAAAATCATATTATATTAAGAACTTTTAAGAACAAATTTTTAAAAGCATTTTATGACCTTACTTTTAGTCCGATTTTTGTGAAATTTTCAAGAAGTACTAATAATTACCAAACTTAGGAGAAACTTTGAATTTTTTTTAAACCATCGATAAATATTTATTT